CTTATGCGTAGATATTTAATATAAGTGTTTTAATACTGAAGAATTACGTACATTTTGCATAACTTTATTGGAGAACAAGGCACAACATTAATTTAATTTTTTTTATTATTAAAAGCCATTTACCGATTTGTTTTACCGACCGCTGTCATGGCTCTTGCCATTACCGAATAACTTCGCGTTTTACCGACTACCTCACTAAAACTGGGGGTGTCACACACACCCCCATACCCCCCCCCCCCCCCCCCCCCCCCCCCCCCCCACACCCCGCACGCTACGCCCTGTGGACACTTTTAAGTACAGAACTATCAATTTCTAAAATATACAAAGTCAAAGTACGTATATTATTTTGGTTTCTATGTGCTTTAGTTTTAATGTAAATTTGAAAACGAAACTCTACGTAAAACGTTAAATGTTAAAACGTTAAATGTGAATTGAAATTAACTGCTTTTTGCCGATAACTTCATAATCATAGCCATAGGCAGCTCACTAAACGGCTGAATTTAAATTAAAACTGCAGTGAAATTATAAATTTAACGAAAATAATCACAAATTTAGAGAAAACATATATTGCGAAATGCAGCTTATATTATTAAAATCTCCGATCCGATTGCAATATCGACGAACTGACGTAGTGACGTATAGACTATACGGTATAGTATACGAACTTATTTATTTATTTATTTATTGAATTTGTCACCATACAAAAAAAAGATTACATTGACGAAGATAACTATGTGAAACCTAACCCCTTACAATATACACAATATACTATTTGTCTTTACTCAACAATATATACATTATACTTTTGTATACATTTATATACATATACACATATTTGGAAACGACTAACATGGCAAAAAGAAGTTTAGGAATGACTATAAGTAGCTGGAACAACCAGGAGGACTGTATGTTGATAACTTTGTAATGTACAAGTAACTGACGTAACTGACGTATAGTATACTAGTCCCCGGGTGTAAATAGCCGGGCGGAATTAGTACCCTCGCCCCGGGTTTACGCCTGGAACGGCGCTCTGCGCCGTTGGCTTGCGGATAAATTTCAAATCTGACTATGTGGACTCGACTAGATTTCCGCGCAATTTGATCAAGTCCGAGCTCGAAGTCGAGGACTGGATGAAAATGCGAAGAGTTAAAAAGTTGAAATCTACTAGTCCAGTCCGAATATTGGAGGATTTGACATTTCATACGAATAAATCACTGAGGTGAATTAATTTTGATCCAGTCCAAGGAGTGCATGAATTAATTTTGATCCAGTTCTAGGACTGGATCAATATACGATCACCATGCAGATATCCAGTATTATCATGTTAGCAAAATAAAGCAATATATGGTTGCCCAATCTACTTGTACTCATGAACTATTAATGAGTTTGAGATCTATATTCTATATATAATACATATCCGCTTCGTTCATGATCCCTTCAATCAATCAACCGCACTCGGTTATTAAATTCCATGCATGCATATCTATAATTAGACTATCAACGCTTTCGTGTTTTAATACATTCTCAGGGTATTAAAAATACGGTGATGTCGATGTCAAAGGCTATTGAAAAAGCAAGCCATTCTGCTGGCTGCAAATAACTTTTCTCTTTAGACCGTCGACCGAATGTTTTTGTCGGAGTTTATTTTATTTCATTTGTGATTGTGGGTCAAGGCTACCTCCTCCGCAGGCCATTCAAAAATATAGGAAGCAATTAATCTTAGGCAACGAACGGGCATATGGCCTGCGGTGGAGGTAGGGGATAAAGGCAGCCATCCGGTCATCAATTATATAGCAAACTCCGCACCTCGTTAGTTAATAGCAATTTTTTTCCCGTAGTTTTGCCTTTGGCCGGTGCGAAACGCAAATGAAAAACCTGTAAGCTAGACAAGTCGAACTCCCGCTCCTTGCGCTCGCCTGGTTTTATACGGTCGCTCACTAACAGTGGAAGCCGACTTGGAGCAAGTCTAGGCCTGACATTACATCAAAGAGTTTCCTGTTTAGCATCCGCCATTGTGATGATGATGATGATGGTGATGAGTTAAAACTCGCCTGGCACAAGAAAACCTTTGTACCCATGGTGGCCTGACACCAGAAAACCTCTGAACTCAGGCTACTGCAATGGTAGCCATACTGAAAATATAGTCCAGACTCCAGAGTGCGCATCGATTTAATAAATTATTGAAACGTAAACGTTAAAGGACTCGTTCCAGCATGATTAAATAGATATAGTTACCTTATTATAGGAAATTAACGATGCACTTTATTAACGAGGCATAAATTAACGCGACATCAAATTAACGCAGAATGCTTCTAGGTCTTAAATTAAGATGATATTAACGCGAATCTGATCTCCAAGGTTGACAAATTAATTAAAATAACGCGAATCGGAAAATATAGACACTGATGTTTTTAGTTTACGTTAATATGCTGTATTTTGATACTAAAAGATTTAGTGTTATACAAACAAATCTAGGTATTTTTAACTAACGATAAATGAAAATTACATACTTAAAATTAACGATCACATAAATTAACGTTAATTAAATTAACGCGAATTTTTAAAATCCGCGTTAAAATAAAGTGCCGCAAGGGCAATATTTTATGCCTCAACAAGGAATTTTCGTACTCGCACATTTTAAGATATATGGGGTTTCCACGCGCAATATGTGTACCCTAATGGCTTTAGTTTGGCGTTTTTAAATACATTACCACATAAGTCATAAACTTTGTTTTAAATTGAGGACTTGTGCCTTTATTTTTTTTCTGTTCGCTAGAGTGAGAAATATGGCTGAGAGTAGCGATGGATATGGAGTTTTATTATCACAGTCATATTTATTAATATCTTCATCAGTTAAATTTCGCTAAATTCAAAATAAAGTTCAAGTTTATGGCTTGCATCAGTAGTGTTGCAACTTTTGGCTGTATAAACCTCTAAGGCCCTCTAAATTTTGATACCTTGAGTGCTTTCGGCTGTTACTGATGATTATAAAGCCTTTCGTAAATGCGCTTGAACGAAAAGCACTCAGGAGGGTTTGAGAAAGCCAGGAACATTCTCGTATTCCATTTTGACACTGTGCGCATGTTTACGTATTTGTAATAAGGTGGGAAAAGATGTTAGGCCTATCTAGTATCGCGTAACAACGCGCGATTCATAATTACTATATACTGCAAATCAGTTGTCGCGTAAATAAGCGTAATCATATGAATGTCATGTTTACGTTTATATTGGGTTTACATAAATTAGCGAATAGACGAAAAGGCAAGCTTGAAGAGTCCATATTTCCGACGCGACAAAGAAAACCATATGAACAAACCTACTATTCGCATTTATTGCGCTATGGAATTTGCATGCGAAGCAAAGTAATACGAAACTGCATTAATGCATTTCCAATCTTACCACGGAAGTCCACTGACAAAAAGAGCCCGCACAAGGAGATTGAGTAATCTGACCATCGTGAAACTCAATTTTAAATACACGTCAATGCATAACAAACAATTTTAAACCAGCATACCGCGTACAAACAGCATACATTGCATGTGTATTGAATTCAAGTTTAAAGCCTCTTGACAAAATCCTCGAAAAGGTTTCACACAGATTAATAATGACGTTGCTGTCTTGTTCCTTCACAAGTTCTTCTTTTCTTCAACGATTCCTCAGATCGTCTTGGTCACTGGCAATGTTGGCACGTAGTTCGTCTACTGTCGTGGTGCCAAACGACACCAATGTGCTCCCATTCTCAGCAATGCCAGGCCTAAAAGGTAGCATTCGAAATATCTTGGATTATGCGTATACGAAGGGCTCGTTCTTTGACGTTGTAACAGAACGATTCAAAAGATATGGTCCAATTTACAGTGAGAAAATACTTGGCACGCAAATTGTGAATATTTCGGATGTAGAAGCCACGATAAAGGTTTTACGAACCGAAAAATCTTTTCAAATGCGGCCGGGCTTCGAAGCCCTAGAAGACGTTGGGGACGAAGTTAATCCCGGTGGAGGTATTGGCATTGCCTCGAACGACTACGAAAAATGGTATCGTCAGAAATCGCTGCTGTCGCCGAAGCTGATGCGCCCGAAATACGTTCGTGAAACATTGCCTATATTAAATACTGTAGCAGATGATTTTGTGAAGCGAATGCAGCGACTTTCGGAGCGTGACGGGACGATAAGTAATCTTGAGGAGGAGTTACCATACTGCACTGTTGAGGCAATGGCTGCGTCGTTGTTCAATCAGCGCCTTGGTTTCTACGACCATCCTCAAAATCCGGACGCAGTTGCGTATGTCGAGTCTGCCAAAGAGGTAGTGGAAAATATTGGAACACTCTCGATCACTGCTCCTCTTTACAAGTACATCAAAATCCCGGCGTATTACGCGTTAAGGAAAAGTTTTCTTACAAATATTGCCACTGGTATGGACATTATCAATAAAGAGTTGGCAAAGAAACAGAAACAACAAAGCGATAGTAAGACAGAGACGTTTTTCGAATATCTGTCTGCCAACGAAAAGGTTACACCGAAGAGAATGGCACTGTATCTTACTGGATTGATGGCAGCTGGTATTGATACGACCAGTACGACGTGTCTTTGGCTGCTTTACGAACTGTCTCGGCACCCAGAAGTGCAGGAGAAAGTCTATCAGGAGATGGTATCTGTCCTTGGCCCTGACGGGGAAGTATCAAAAACAAACATTCAACGTTTATCGTTCATCAAAGCAACTCTGAAAGAGTCAGGTCGCATGAATCCTGCCGGTGCGTTTGTGGTTGCTCGGGTATTTGATAAGGATCTCGATGTTCTCGGCTACCGTATCCCAGCTGGCGTATATGTTTTATTGCACGAACATTTGCTATCGGTTGATCAGCGCTATTACGGGGAAGACGCGAAGAAGTTTGTGCCAGAGCGATGGCTGCGTGACGAAATGGGAAAGAAGAATGATCTAAATGCGTTTACTTCATTACCGTTCGGTTATGGAGTAAGAATGTGTTTAGGTCGGAGATTAGCCGAGTCAATGATTTATACTTTGGTAAGCAAACTCTTACTCAGTTTTCGTTTGGAGTACGCAGGAGATACTGCGGTGAACAAGGACATAAAGGATGGGTTAATGAAGCCAGACCAACCTGTCTTAGTGAAATTCATACCAAGAAAAAAAGACACATATGGACTAGTTAATGTTTAACTCAACAATGTGAAGGTCAAGATACGACTCGATTCAAATTATCAGATACTGCATGGTATTGTCGTGTTTTTAAGTAATTTCATTATAACGTCTGCACATTTGATCACATACGTTTTCTGTTTTGAAACGATAGACTGCTATACATGATCTACATCGAAAGAAAACGTCTAGGGCAATTGCGGGTAAACACATACAATCATTACAAAAAAATCACGTCTTTATTTGGATCCAGAGTTACCATTATTTTCATTGCGACATAAATGCACATGACATGGAAACTTTTTTAAAAGTTTTCATAAACGTTTGTACGTAAGTCAGTTGGAGAAAGTTTATGCACTGATAATTTAAATCCTCAAGCTTAGATGAAACAACTTAGACGCTACCTTGTAGCGGATTGTATCTCCCCCAACATTTATTAGCTAGCTGACATTGTCACCCCGGATACTTTATCTGAGTCGTGTATATAATGTCCGCCCGCCCCCACGCGTATTTTGTCAGCCTCGAAAACTATATGCGACTACGCGAGTACATTCACAGAATTACGCAATTTTGTTGGAGACTGTCTTGATTAATAAGTATAATAATATCATGTTGCGGGTATTCCCTTTGTTTTCGCAGGGCAATTAAAAACTAATACACCTCATTATATTCATTTTTTCTAATCCTACCCGCTTTTACGTCATGTCAGTTAGGATTAGTTTTAATCCTACCCGGTACAACGTCAAAGCGGGTACGATTAGAAAAAATGAATATAAACGAAGGTATCTGAAATCGCCAAAACTAAACAAAAACATGGAAAACAATTATACCATTTAATTTATACCATTATTTATTGTTAATTGGTTTTTAATAGCCCTGCGAGAACAAAGGGAATACCCGCAATCATGATATAATAATAATTATAATAATAATAATAATAATAATAATAATAATAATAATAATAATAATAATAGTCTTTATTAAAATACTCAGATACATCCGTCTGAGTTTACAATCGAAAGGTAATTGATCTAGATAGTTATATTTACAATGTAAGTTAAGAAGCGTAAAAAGTTTTAAAAAGTTTGAAATACATTAAAATCTAAACAAAGTTATACAGACAACGATTTATGAACGACCTTTCGAATCTTTCTGTTCTCACTAGGGGGAGTTCATATTTATGCCCTCTAGGCCTAAGTAACCTACTTCTTTTTTCCTGCAGCAGTTCAAGCAATGCATTGTCCTTAGTTGATGTTATTTTGTTCCACAGTTTCTTATCTCTCTTATCACGTATTTCTTTAATGTGTGTTCGTTTTGATATATAACCATTCTTATGTGCACGTTTAATGAATTTATCTATTTGATTCAAATATTTACCGTCACATGCACAACCACACAGCTCAATAGCAAAAGTGAATATCGACATAATTAGGCTATCAAACAGCAGATCTAATTGTTTAATTGATAGTCCATAGTATTTGCAAACTCTCATAATGTACATTCGTCCACTTGCTTTTTTGAGCATTTCTTCGAAGTGCAAATCCCAATTGCACGGATTATTTTGTAGAGTAACTTCTAAAAGCTTTAGCCATGTTTTTCGCTTAATTGAAGGGATAAGCTCGGGCAAAACTACAGAGGTGTGTCTGCGAACAACCATTTCGTACGTTTTTTCCAAGTTTAAGGGCATTCTATTCTCTTCCGCCCAATCCTGTAAACAGGCAGCTTCAGATCGAGATGTGTCACCACTTTCGTTGCCAGGCACTCGTCCGCAAATTTGACTAACGCATTACTAGGATCAGCAGTTTTAATATCATATAAGGTAATAGCATAAAAAGAGGCGAATTAGCTAGTAAAACGTCCCGTCCGATGAGGGTCGTTTAGTAAAATTCCCTTGGGCGTCGCTCGATGAGGGTCATTTAGTAAAATTCCAGAGGGCCTTATTTTACTAAATGACCCTCATCGAGCGGCGCCCAAGGGAATTTTACTAAACGACCCTCATCGGGCGGGACGTTTTACTAGCTAATTCGCCTCTTTTTATGCTATTACTTCAAATAAATGACATAATATATCAGAGCTACCTCAAAATCCTTTGTCTCGCGAGATGCGTGATTAATGACTAATTTAACTCATTTTGGAACCTAATCATCCCACGAGACGATTAGTCACTAATCGTCCCTCATCTTTATGCATAACGTCTTATATTGATGTTGAAAAAGACATAAAAAATCAATGCTCGTAACTTCACGTCGAACATCCCAATAGTCATTAATATCAAAAAAGCAAACGCGCCTTTTTATTTCAACTTAATTAGTCAATCAATGAAACCGTTTTATTGTCTGACTCTCTAAGCCGAGAAAATCAAAGCTGAAGTTTATGTCAATCAGGACAAATCTTTATCCGATTTACAAACAATGATTAAACATTCTGAAAATCATTTCTTTTGTATTTTCCTCATGAATTAATTATTAATAAGTTTTTAAAGGGAGTATAAAGAAAGTGCACAGTTCTAGAATGTCCATGCACTAAACTGAAAATTTAGACACTCCATATAAGTAAGAAAAATATTAGCTAACGTTTCTGAAGATGTTGTATTGTAAACAACGAAACGTTAGCAAATCATTTTTTTTACTTTTTACCAAAGCTTTAAAGGTATTTGCTGGGCTCTGCTCTTTTTCTTTTAATTCAACTAAGATTTCCGCCTGGTGTATAGGGACAGCTTAGTTAAGGGAGTAGGACTAACGTAATTACACTCCAACCTGAGCCAATCTGTGCCAGGCACGAAGGTATATACGTGCGCCGGTAATCGCATATTCGCATTTTATTCTGTAAGATGTTTTTTCGTGATAATTACTTCGAATGCTATAATACTGTGAACAAGAGATTGTGATTGACTTTTATTAAATCTTTGCTCCGGCTGGCAGCGCCAGAACTACATGGGGGCCTTTCAGCTGTATTTTTCGGTGGTGTCACAAACGCGACATACCTTCCGCTTCACGGTTGACCCACGTATCGTCAATGGTATCGTTCATTTTCAAAATGGTGGCCATTCGTTGAGTGGGCTGAAATGTTTGAAACGATAATTTATATAGAGATAACCTCTTTATCTCCTTTTCACATGTAATTTTTTTTTGATTTTGTGAATAAATTATTGTGATTGTGAAAATATGATATTAATTAGTCTGTATATCTCCGTCACCAAGTCCGGTCACTGTGTCTCCTTTCAGCTTTGCTATTATAAATATCTTCTATTAGTTCTATAACTGACATATTTTAATGAGCCAGTTATACATAATTCTACCTGGGTAAACGAAAAATTTCAAAGCAAACTACTAGACAGCTTAGTTATAAACAAGCAAATATGTTCTGAAACCTAGTCTGGACTCTGGATCATGGAATGATGTCGTTATGTAGCTATATCAAGCTATGTTTTATTTGTATAAATCTTGTGCCTGCTAAACATACGATCTATTAAAAAATGCACCATTAATTGATTGTGGTAACAAAATCCCCTCCCCCGCCTTTGAGTGCAGAGTCTCACTGTGACAGCCAGACCTTGACCTTGGTAGCCTGAAGTATGTGATGCAGGCTAGACCTTGGCAGCTATGACTGCTGACTCCGCAATGTAAACAAACGTTTACATTTTGAACTGCTCTATTTGTAAAATTTAGCAGTTTATATAGCCTGCGCACAGACTATACAATGACATTATATAGTCTGCGCGCAGGCTACAGTTTATACAGAATTGGGCAAAATTCTCTGCCATCAGCTTAAATTGTGTCATTTATCATAAATTTTGTGTATAATAAGGTGGGAAAAGATGTTATAATCTGTTGGGAACCAAAATGCTTGGTGGCTATTATACATCGCATAACGACACGCAATTTATAAATTATCGATACACTGCAAATATAATGTTGTCGCGTAAATAAACGAAATATCAAGTTTAAGTTTACACTGGGTTTACATCAGTTAACGAATAGATCAAAAGGTAAGCTTGAAGAGCCAATATTTCCAACAAAGAAAACCATATGAATAAACGTACTATTCGCATTTATTTATTTAATTTTAATTGCCTATCGAGTATAGAATTTGCATGCAAAGCGAAGAAACATGACACTGTATTTTCAATTTTACCGTGGAAGTCCACTGACAAAAGGAGCCCGCACAAATGGGAAAAAAATTGAGCAATCGGATAAAACACGTCATTGCATAACAAATATTGCATTCAACTTTAAAGTCTCTTAGCAAAATCGTCGAAAAACGTTTCACACAGATTAACAATGGCGTCGCTGTATTGTTCCTTCACACGTTCTCTTTTTCTTCAACGATTCCTCAGATCGTCTTGGTCACTGGCAATGTTGGCACGTAGTTCGTCTTCTGTCGTGGCGCCAAACGACACCAATGTGCTCCCATTCTCAGCAATTCCAGGCCTAAAAGGTAGCATTCGAAATATTTTGGAGTATACGAAAGGTTCGTTTTTTGACGTCGTTACGAAACGCTTCGAAAGATATGGTCCAATTTACAGTGAGGAAATACTCGGCACGCGAATTGTGAACGTTTCTGACGTAGAAGCCACGAGCAAGGTTTTGCGCACTGATAGAACTTTTCAAATGCGTCCGGGCTTGCAAGCCGTGGAAGACGCAGGGGACGAAATTAATCCCGACACAGGTTTTGGTCCGATCTCGAACGACTATGAAAAATGGTATCATGACAGATCGCTGCTGGCGCCGAAGCTGAAACGTCTAAAGGATGCCCTTGAAACATTGCCTATATTAAATACTGTAGCGGATGACTTTGTGAGGAGAATGCAGCAACAATCGCGGCGTGACGGGACGATAAATAACATTGAAGAGCAGTTTACGTACTGGATTATTGAGGCGATCGCCGCGGGCTTGTTCAATGAGCGTCTTGGTTTCTACGATCAACCTCCAGATCCAGATGCAGTTGTGTTCGTGAAGTCCGCCAAAGAGATGTTGAAAAATGTTGGAACACTCAATGTTACTGCTCCCCTTTACAAGTACATCAAGATTCCGGCGTATTATGCGTTAAAGAGAAGTTTTCTTACAAATAGTGCCACTGGTATGGACATTATCAATAGAGAGTTAGCGAAGAAGAAGGGTGAGCGAGGAAACAGAACGACGCAGACATTTTTTGAATATCTGTCTGCCAAAGAAAAGATTACATCGAAGAGCATGGCAACATACCTTACTGGACTGATGGCAGGTGGTGTTGATACGACCAGTACGACGTGTCTTTGGCTGCTTTACCACCTCGCTCAGAATCCAGAAGTGCAAGAGAAACTTTATCAGGAGTTGGTGTCCGTTCTTGGCCCTGACGGGGAAGTATCCAAAACGAACATCCAACGTTTATCGCTTGTCAAGGCAACTCTGAAAGAGACAGGACGTATGAATCCCACCGCTGCATTTACGATCGCTCGGGTATTTGATAAGGATCTCAATGTTCTCGGCTACAATATACCAGCTGGTGTATATGTTTTATTACACGAACATTTGCTGTCGGTTGATGAGCGCTATTATGGGGAGGACGCGAAGCAGTTTGTACCGGAGCGATGGCTGCGTGATGCAACAGGAAAGAGGACTCAGGAGAATCCGTTTACTTCATTACCATTCGGTTATGGAGTAAGAATGTGTTTAGGTCGACGACTGGCAGAGTTACCAATCTACACGTTGGTAAGCAAGATCATACTTAGTTTTCGTTTGGAATACGCAGGAGATACTGCGGTGAATAAGGACATGGTGGGTGGGTTAATGAAACCTGACCGACCTCTCTTAGTGAAATTCATACCAAGAAAATAGGACATTGGCCACTGAGTTACATTCAATTTACCAATCTAAAGGTTGACATACGATAGTTTTTTTAAGGCACTAATAAGTAAATGACCCCCAATTTAAGGCACTAATAAGTATTAATGACCCTCTCCCCCCGGCATCACTGCAAGGTATCACGTTTTGGATTGTTTAACTTTGTGGCAATATCCAAATTTTCTAATGACTTTTTTAAGTTATCGTGAAAATAAACACGGTGTTACAGCGGAGTCTGTCAAGACATTATCAGCTAGGTGACACAGTCTCCCCGGACATTATATCTGTATCGCGGATAACATTCTCCCTAGCTCGCGAATTTTGTCCCCTTAGAAAACTACGCGATTGCATTCATAGAATTACACAATTAGTCTTGTTCAATTGCACTCAGGTGAAAATATATGTTTGTCAAGTTGTCCCTGAGTGTGTCCACACCGGGCAAGCTGAAAAGTTTGCTTGATCGCCGTGGGAATCAAACCCGTGACCTTTTGTTTGCAAGGATCGTAGAGAGACACTGATATCGAAGGAATTACACCGAGTTCCGAAATATCACGCACTCGAACGACTTGACCTTGTAGCTCAGTTGATGGAGCATAGGACTAGTAAACAGGGATCGATTCCAACTGCGGTCAAGCAAAATTTTCATGTGGACACACTCCGAGTCAACATCACAAACATACACTAACAAAGATATCCATAATTATAAGCTTATAGCACAAGAAAAGCATCATTGCTTCACAAAAAAATGTAATAGAACAAATTATAAAAACCGCACACACGCTAACAAAGGAATCGATGTGTGGAATAATCTTCCTTCGCAATATAAAGAAATTAGATCTTTTCCTATATTCAAAACGACTATGAAATGCATTGTCTTCATCCTGATAAAAATAAATAGAATTCTTGCCACTTAAAGAAAGGTTAAATTGTTGTAATATAGCTTATTCTATCTCACAGTTTCTTTATTTGTATACATATGTATCACCTTATTCACCTAACTTTATCTAGAAACATTTGAACTGGTATATTTTATTGGTATTAATAAATATTTAATTTAAAGTTGTAACTAAGGACCTTAACTGAAAAGCCTTTTGGTTTCTAGAAGTTTCCTAGTCCTTTTAATGTAAATATTTTCTATTTCATGATTTATATGATGTAATATGGGCGAATTAGTAAAAAAAAATTATAGGGTACATGCACGAGAACCTTCTAACGACGGTACATGGCATAGAGCTTCAAAGGGTGTAGGTACAATACAACCTGTGCCAATCTGTGCCTGGCACAGAAGTGTTACGTATTCGCATCTTTAATATTGTGTAAAATGCTTTTTCGTCATAGAGTAGTCTTCGATTACTTGGAAAGTGAAGAAGAGATTGTGATTGATTTAATGATTTTATATTAATTTTTCAATATAATTTTACCAAAGTGAAATTTTAGACGAAACGAGAGAGGCAATAATTATGAATATTGTGTAAAATGCTTTTTCGTCATAGAGTAGTTTTCGATCACTTGGAATGTGAAGAAGAGATTGCAATTGATTTAATGACTTTATATTAATTTTTTCAATATAATTTCGCATCAATTGCAATGTTCAGTTTAAAGTGTCCCTGTCAAAAAATGAGAGTTTATATTTTTGAAATCTATGATACAAAATATACGGAAATTCGAAAACAGAATCGAAATTTCTTTTTTAGTGTAAAAGTTATTGCCGTTTAAACACTGTATTTGGCCTGGTGAAAAATCTGAAAACCATGAAAAAGAGACTGCGACGAAACAATGCGTTATAATATAGAAATACTATTCATGCGCTATCATAGAGGAGGCAATAGCGCAAATAAAAGTCGCGAAACTGAAAAATTGCCGAATATATGTGTAGTAGGCGGTTGTTCTAATGTCACAGATACAGAGAAAGGCATTTCACTTCATTTTACACCTTTTACTGCAGGCGAGATGCACGAAGCGAAAAGGAGACGGGTTGACTTCGTGCACCTTAAACGAGCAATATGAGATCCAATGTTCAGCATACTTTGCGAAGAGAGAGTTTGCTGGTAAGACCACGGTTAGCTACGGAAGAAATTGGTTTCGTTGCAATTCCAAAATATACAAATACTGTCGACGACAAAACTTTGTCTGCGAGAGCCAAGAGAATGGTATATGTATAATTGATACTCGAATTTCGTTTATCATGCACTTGTTTGAATATGGTGCAATTTTTATTCCAAATTCGTTATTTAAATAGGTTGTAAAAGAAGCTGCTTCAAATTCAGTCAACCGATATGGTCATGGTCACGAAACTCGAAAGCGCGATAAATATAAATGAGCCACAGTCAATGGATTCGCCAGAAATATCGCGACAATATATGAGTGAATATTGTCAAAATATAATGCATGAAAGCCTTATTTCTTACGTCTACAAGCAATGTGTACTGTTTTTATTTTAGATTAGACAGGTAAAGTAGAATTGTATAAGTAGCCTAATAAACTTTACGCAGTAAATTATACATACACTCGTTGTGTTTCCACCGCAGGGAAAACCCGTACAACATGCAGATTTTGTAACAAATTGTGGCATGAAACCTGATACACTGTGGGGATGTGTATAAAATGTATTACAAAGGCATTGAAGCAACTTAATGAAATAACCTAGTCATTGCCACATTTGCTAGTATAAGGCAGTGCCTGCATGGAACGAAATACAAGTAGAAAAATACCCCGCCTGAACGGCGCGCAAGACACACATATATATATATGTATATATATATATATATATATATATATATATATATATATATATATATATATATATATATATATATATATATATATATATAGCTTAAGATTTTGGTTTACGAAACACAAACAGTGCTCAATACCATATAGATAGAGCGTAATATAGTTTTTCGTTTTACCTCAAAGAACCACTTACCTCAAAGAACACAAGTGGTTCTTTGAGGTAAAACGAAAAACTATATATATATATATATATATATATATTCAATGTCGAATTTGTGCGAAAAATCAGTAGAGCAAATACAGAAAACAAAAACAACAAATTTCAATCTTAAAATTTTATTTCATCGCTACACAGTGTTTCACGTACAGCGTACGATCATCAGGCGATTGATGTTCCTCAATGATACATCAATCGCCTGATGATCGTACGCTGTACGTGAAACACTGTGTAGCGATGAAATAAAATTTTAAGACTGAAATTTGTTGTTTTTGTTTATATATATATATATATATATATATATATATATATATATATATATATATATATATAT